GAAATCATAAAACCTTTCAGAGCTTTCAACTAATTTTTATATAATTGGTAACGTTTCTTTTTATTGGTTAAAATAGGAGTTTATTTGTGGCTATTTGTTTGATTATACCTGTAACTTTATTAATCGTTGCAAACCTAGTTACCGGCAATCAATATATAAAATAAATAGGTTCAGATGAGAGCTTGCGCGAATTTCCGGCTTAAAAGAATTCTGAAAAAATAATTATAACTTACAAGCAAACTGTGGGTTTTTTTTTTTTTTTTGAAAAACGATTGATTTACGTTCACAATAACGCAAATCCATTGTTTCCCCCGTGTGTTGGCACCATTACATCAGGAAAATAAATTTTCATCTATTTTTCTTTTCCTGATCATCCATTATTGAACTGACGTAACTCTTTTTCTTCTTCTTCCTGCTTTTTTTTAAGTTACTAGTAGTCACACGTGCATTGCACGTGATGCATGATAAAGTTATAGATACATTATCATTCATCGTATTATTGTATACGCCTAACTATATTTTCGAGCTGAATATTAATTATGTAAAACAAAATTAAGAATAAGTGTTTGACCCAAAATACAGTTTCCTGGGAACTCAAAAGTCCTCATAAGATAACTAACACGATAATTAGTTCTCAACCAAAAACATAATGTCAAGATAACTAACACGAAAATTAGTTCTCAACCAAAAACATAATGTCAAGGGAGCCTAATAATCATTAGAACCACATAAACTTTAATACTTATAGTTATTGAGGATTATTAAAATTGAGAGGGTATGAAAGGAAATCAAAAGTTTTAACATAGAAATCATCTTTTATAGTAGTATAGATTATAGATCGATATACTAATTAAGCAGTCCCAGGCCTCATTAAAACCATGCACACAGCCTCCCTGTGCATAATTACTATCTATCACAGAATAAATACTGTCAAAGAATATCAGGTTTCGTAACATCTCTATAAAAATTGGGTTTGTATGGAGGAAAATAATTTTCCATTCATAATGTTAAAGAAATGAATGCTATTGGAAAATTTTCACCTCCAAATACAATAATTTCCCAAAAAAAAAGATAATACAAGTAAAAAATAATTTGCATTTACACCTTGTCATCAAGCTCTCTGGACTCTGACAGTAATCCATCTTTGTGAGATTTCTCGCTGATTGTTGAATAATTTCGGCGCTCTTTTCCTCCAGGCTTTGACGATGCATTTCCATACCATATCATTCCTATTATTGCTAAGATCATGCCGAGAACTACATGAAGATTTAGACCCTCTTTTCCGAACAAGAAGAATCCTAAGATTAAGACGAGAATGGTCTTCATGTGACCGATAACTTGAAAGGAGACTGCTGTGAATCTGCCGATGCAGATGAATTGGCTGAGATTGGTTCCTACCGCGATGGTGCATGATAAGATGAGGAAGTACTGCGGGAATATTAAGACACTCATTAAGACACAAAAATAAGAGAGAAAGAATGAAAATAAATGTAAATTTCAAAAAAAAAACCTGAATTTGATGGGCTTTGCAAAAAACCTTCATGAAGTTTAAAAATCATTAAAAAGACTCTGACCTTTCGAATTTACACTCTCCTCTGAAGTTTTGGAAATTCTCATAAGCAGCGTGGAAAGGGTAGAGTTATTAAGTCTAAACTACTATCTTTTTGCTTTCACCTATACTTAACACGCAAAGTTAATACAGAAGTTATATGTAGTAGACACGGGTAATTGTCCAAAAGCAATCGATCAACCTGAAGTAACTGTTGTTAGTCATGGTATTTAACTGAGACAAGTTCAGGATAATTTTCTGTGATTAACAAAGTTCAGGGAGTTTTGTGCAAAATCACCCAAAGTTCAAGGGGTTTTGTCAATTTATGCTAAAAAAGTAAGTATACAAGTGATAATATCAATAAAACAAGGATAAATCAAAATCCATCATCAGTCTTGGGGTTAGGATTAAGAGACTAGAGGTCAATAAATGACTAATTAAAATCGATAGTTATAACCCCCAAATGAGTGTGTCAATGCAATTTCTTTATCCTCGTGCACATGAGGGCATGGATATGTGTGATTATGCATGCATGCATGCAGATGATTATTTAGTAACTACGAAACTAAATTTGAAAGGCATTGTCTCCGCTCACCACTGCAGTTATATTATAGTCGAATGCATCTACTCTTTTCTTTGTCAACCAAAAATCAATAAAAGGCCCTAATATTAGCAACGATGCTGCCTGAACTGGAGCAGTGTGACCAAGGAGGTTGAAAGATCCGAGCGAGTACTTCCGCTGAAGAAAGTGAACATACTGCAGAAGAAATTCAACTGTACATAAGATTGCGGCTTCAAAGAAACAAGAATTTTGAATTATTTCATATTTCACCTAAACAAAATTCAAGGTACTAAGAAAATATAATAGCACATCAGAAATTAAGAACGCTATGATACACATACAAAGATGATTTTAAGCTCTCAACAAATTACACTACAAACACAGGATCCAAAATAAGCATGTGTAAAACTAATATAGAGAATAATAAGCATTTTAAGTATTTTAGAGAATTGTATAGTACATAAGCACACATGGAGTTTTTAAAACTTACATATTGTTGTAATGCAGTGCTCCAAACTGCTATAACCGCCGCTATCAAGCCTTTAGTATTTACACTCACATCATTAACAGTACATACTGCAACACCAGCAAGTACCACCATTATGCTGAGCTTTGTACCTCGAGAGTAGTGTATCTTATCAAACAGAACTTCTAAAAGACATGACACCGGAATCATACACAATTTAGCAATCTGAAAATGACATGAAATTAAATTTTAGTCTGTGAGTTTATTAAAGTTGGCATAGTTCATGAAAAAAAATTTGCTGGTAGATACCAACCTGATAGAATCCAACTGAGTTCCACATTAGACTAACATTCATGCCAACTATTGATAGATTTGCGAAAAGGACAAACTTAATTAGATCGGGTAATGGTAAATGGGAGGCCTGAATGTATCCCAGCCATCTAAGTACCAAAGCCATGAGAGTGGTGGTGGCAAAATGCAGTCCAGTAAGAGTTGTAGCTGCAGCAAACATTTGAGAGATATAAACAGTTATTCATGGAGATTTTCTAAGAGTATAATTTTTACTGATATGGTCTAGAAGTACTCAGTATCAGACTAAATACAGAGATAAATCATAAAGAAACACAGAATAACCATGAAAGTTAAAAGCATAAAACCAAGTCGTTTAAAATTTGGTAAACAGGACAACATATGGAACATTCACAGTCCCAGACCCGGATCATAACTTATTGCCCCAGATGCATTACATGTGCCTCGTAAATAGTCATACCCAAGATAAACTACGTTATACAGGTACTGGTATGTAATTAGAGCAAATCACATTATGAAATTAAATCCAGACCAATAATTCAGAAGAATTTGAAGTCGCCTTGTAGTAGGAAAACAAGCAATGATACTACACAATGAAACATATTTAAAGTTAAATTACTTGCTGGATGTTTCTTGTAGGAGTATCGTGTGGGATTCTGCATATCTTGCAAGAAACTATTATCAGAAACAATCACTATAGGTTGGAAAACTTGCCAGTTTTAAGCAATGATTAAACATTTAGGTTTAAAAATATTTGCACAACAGAGTCAAACACTATTACACTGCCTAGTTTGTGACGTTGCCTGGTGCTTTTAGCTTATGAGTGAATAAGGGATATGACAAGTTCCAAAAGATTTGTTTGGGAGAATAATTCACTTCTCCTTTCTCTTTCAGTAATAATCAATTGACTTTCAAGTTTCAAGCACAATAACTGGAGGGAAAAGCGAACACCAATAAAGCTTTCACAAAGGTTTGTATGATGATAAATGCGTCTCCATAACAAGAAACCATCAAGACTAGAGACAATAAGCACATCATATAGGAGGTAACACTACCCAATTCCATCTGCATTTCTCTTTCAATTTTCAGACATACCAATATGAAATAAGATATAAAAGAATCTAGTGCTTTATGGGTAAACATGATGATGACACTTTACATAATAATAAGGTGCAACTAAAAAAATTTAGTGTTTTAAATTGAAATATTAGAACTATTGAATAGTACTTTCAAACTTAGTTGCATGTCATAATTCAGTAGGCACCATGTTTTAAAAATTTACAAAGGCTGTTATGTTTCAATTCAATTGAAGATTTGCAATTTGTAACTGGAGGAACTATTATATCTCAGAAGCATACCTACATACAAAGATCGAGTTCACTGTTTTTAATAATGAAGGGGCCCAATAAATTAAATAGTGGATTAGGTATCACTGAGTCAAAAGAAAACTTTACCAAAGCTGAAGCCATGAGTAGCCATAAGGGCTTTATTGACCATTATGATCCCAACAGAAGTGACGATATTAAACAACCATGCGGCAACATCTAATGCCGCCTTTTTATCTGCCTTACTTGCTGGTGCCATATCTTATACTAGTCCCTTTTCACTTACTGAAATTAGCACAAATCAGCTCCCATGGCAACCGTAAGTTGTTTACCTGATAAGAATGGAGTGATTTAGTAGTAGATAACAAGCATAATTGCATTTGAAAATAAAATAATTAATCAAGGAATGTATATCTACATTCATTGGTGATACTTGTTCTACATAAGAAAGTCAAATAGACTCTACAATTCCAATTTTCAATTAAATATTTTCAAGATTACAGTCAATGAAAAGTTAAACAAAATAGACAAGACTACAAATCAGTGATGAAAACATCCGATGTGACAGTGTGATGTTTTACAAGATTCTCATATCAGAAGGCAAACATGGGTTGTTCTAATTCAACAAATTTAATCTAACTTCATTTGGTAGGAAGGGAGGTAGAATGAGGTGAGGGATAAAACAAACTTTTCTCTTTGGTAGGGGGGTTTTGAGGGGGAGGCGAAATGGGGGTGAGGTAGGATGTTGTGAGAGAAAGTGTAAATGAATAGAAAGTATATAGAGAGAAACATGCCTTCAATTTAGAGGGATACATGAGCAAGGAGGGGATTTTTCTACAATGACTCTTATAAACTCACCAATTTTTCATAATTACTCAATTGTCTATCTTATCAAAACACTATTTTTCTCTCTCAAAAGGATAATATTGTATTTTCACTAACTCATCACCTCACCTCCCCTTCCCATCCTCTCAACCAAACAAGAAAAATCATGTACCTCCCCTCACTCTCCCTCCAACCAAACAACAAGCATAAAAGGTGTGTCCTTCCTTGCACCTCATTGCACTTTACTCTGCCTCACCTTCCCTACTCACCCCCGCACCCAACCAAGCCCTCTTCCTGTCTCTTACACTATTGAAAATTCTTGAATCCATGCAGTTCACAAATTAATCTACAAAACTATATTTTCCCATCTCTAATACTAATAGTTCCACCAGATACAGAAGTATGACCCTTCCTATGTTTTCCCCATCCTATGGTCCAAACGATCTATGAAACATGGCATTTGATAGTCCCTAGGTCATTACATCACCAAATCCTCAATGTAATGTGGTCACTATCCTTATCCAAAAAAACAAAGAGTGCTGTAGATAATATTCAAATTTGTATTATAGAAAATAGCAAATATAAACCATATAATTAAAACTTAAAAGAGAAATATTATGCTGATAACCGTCTCTACGAAGATAATAAATCGTGAACTTCCATAGTTTTGTGCAGTATTTTATCATAGAGCATTCTAAAATTGTCAATCCCAGCATTCATCTCGCTTGAATAAACAAGATATAATTCAGAGTCCTAGGTACACAGCTGAAAACATGCAAAAAAATTTATCGAAAAAAAATAAGATAAAGGTTCAAACAATGTATATGTGATCTGATTTCTCTTTTGAGATCTAGCAAATGCGCATCACACATCATACGCATTCTACACCTCACAAAGATATAAAAGATCACTCCTTTTTTGATGGGTAATGACCTTAGCTTGAATATGCTTGACTTAAAAACATCAAAAAGTCACTTTGCTGAATTCAGAACTCTCAAGAACAGTCAACTGGGTCTTCCCCAAAGTTTGCCTACAGCTGTGTTTGACCAACTAATCGAAGATGTGGATCCTTTTTATTCAATTAAGCCCTTTAAAATTGAGCAATCAGCAGCAAAATTGACCGAGCTTTTACTCAATTAGGGAGAAGAAAAAAAAGTAAACAGAGGATTACTGACTGCATCAAAAAGAAAAAAAGGAAAAAAAAAATTCATCACGATTGAACTCACCAGAGATCCAGAAGGAGAAGAGGAGGAACCCTATAGGGATCCCACTTGAAATCGAGATCGAAACGTAAAAGACATCGCAATCGAAGACAAATTTAGAGATATGTTTTTCTTTTTTTTTTCTTTTTTTTTTCCTTTGGGACTCTTTTTCTCTGTTGGGTGTGCGCCAAAAACAGCGGCGTCGGGGAGGAGGGGGTAAAATAATCCTGCGGCCCAGCCA